AAGACCAGCCTGGCCAACATGGAGAAACCCTGTCTCTGTATAAAAAAATTTTTTTGTTGTTAAAAAAAATAATAATAATGTATCAACATAGAGTCAGTTGTAACAGATGCGCCACACTAATGCAGGAGATGGAGAACAGAAAACTGTGTGCCCATGGGAGGGGGGGGTGTGGCAACTCTCTGTACTTTGTATTCAATTATCTGTAAAACTAAAACTGCTCAAAAAGATAAAGCCTTGTGACCCAGCACAGTGGCTCATGCCTGTAATCCCAGCACTCTGGGAGGCTGAGGCCGGTGGTCAGGAGTTCAGTACCTGCCTGGCCAAGAGTTAGCAGAGACAGGTGAAACCTCAACTCTCCTAAAAATACAAAAGTTATGTCTATCTCAAGAAGAAAGAAAGAAAAAAAATAAAGCCTTGTCAAAGTAAAAGCAAGGCCAGATGCGGTGGCTCACATCTGTAATCTCAGCACCTGGGGAGGCCAAGGTGGGCGGATCACTTGAGGTCAGGAGTTCCAGACCAGGTTCCCCAACGTGGTGAAACCCCGTCTCTACTGAAAATACAAAAATTAGCCAGACATGACGGTACGTGCCTGTGATCCCAGCTGCTCGGGAGGCTGAGGCAGGAGAATCGTGTGAACCCAGTAGGTGGAGGTTGCAGTGAGCTGAGATCATGCCACTGCACTACTCCAGCCTGGGTAACAGAGTGACCCATCTCAAAAAAAAAAGCAAAGTAAAATGCAGGCTGCTTTTCCAATAAAAGAAACACAGAAGACAGGAGACAGCCTCGCCCTGGAGCCCTCAGAGCCCTCAGCGTGACTCAAACCAGGCAAAGGTCAATACCCAAAGGGGCCTCATCACAGTGCTGGAGTGGGAAGGACTCTGGGATTCCTGATCCCAAAGGACACAGCACAGGGGATTCCTCCCTAGGATTCTGGGGCTGAGAGGATTTCCTGGTCCTAGAATCCTGCCAGTCCCCCCAGGAGAACTGGGGCCAGACCTAACTCATGTGACCCATGGGCCTGGGGCCTGGCCCAGAGCTCCCTCTCAGCCTGCAGGATGATAGTCACAGAGAGCCCCAATTGATGTTTCTCCCCTTGGGGAAAACCAACACACCTGGGGGCCAGCCCTAGGGAGGTCAGGAGAGAGGCCAAGGCTCAGCTCTGCATGAAGAGCCACTCTTGTAGACTGCTCAAAGACACAGCCTTCAGCGCCTGTCCGAGAACCAGATTCACAGCCCTGTTTCATCATGTGCATAACAGTGGTGGGCTCAAAAAAAGAGACAGCAGCTGGCGCGGTGGCTCACACCAGAACCCAGCACTCTGGGAGGCCAAAGCGGGCGGATCGCCTGAGGCCAGGAGTCCAACACCAGCCTGGCCAACATGGTGAAACCCCATCTCTACTAAAAATACAAAAATTAGCTATGTGTGGTGGCGCATGCCTGTAATCCCAGCTACTCAAGAGGCTGAGCAGGACAATCACTTGAACCTGGGAGGCAGAGGTTGCAGTGAGCTGAGATCTCGCCACTGCACTCCAGCCTAGGCAACAGAGTGAGGCTGTTTCAAAAAAAAGAACAAAAGAGAACCAGCTTAATGAATGATCATAGGATAATCAAATCAGGGGGAAGTGGCCACCTGTAGTCAACTTTTCCACAGCTGTGTTGGGTATACGAGCTCCAGGTGGGATCCCCTCTCTGGCTCCTGTCAAGCCACAAGAAACAGCTGCATCCAGCTTGGGGCTTAGGTGTGGAGGCGCACACCTGTGGTTCCAACTACTCAGGAGAATGAGATGGAGGATTGCTTACGCCCAGGAATTCAAGGCTGCAGTGAGCAGTGATTGTGGCACTGCACCCCAGCCTGGGCCACAGAGTGAGACCCTGTCTTAAAAAAAAAAAAAAAAGCCCAGTGCTGCTCCCCAGGACAAGTGGCAGCCTACTGGCAGGCTGCAGTCCCATTCAGACACCACCCTGGCCAGCCTTTCTCCAGGGAAGACCAGGTTCTAAGCAAGACTATCCAGAATCATACTCCCTTACAGCAGCCCTGCCAGAGACTCTCGGGCTATAAACCTCGGGTGTGTGTGACGGGGGACTGGAGAAGTAAGGCAAAGAGTCACAGGTCCTGTCCCACACCCACGATGGCCCCAGGACAGGACCAAGGCGGCAGCTGAACTGAGGCTCTGGGTGCAGAGAGAGAGCGAGGGAGACAGAATGTGCACACTGCCCAAATGCACGGCTCTAGGGAAGAGAGTCACGTTTTGGGTTTCTGTCCTCACGATGCTGAGACATCAACAGAAGCAACACAGTTGAAGAGGAGCAAGCAGGAGAAACTGAGGTCTGGGTGTGACAAGTGACCGACTCTGTACCAATGCTCAAAGCGCTATCTCCCAGAAAAGGAAATAGCCATGTTGGTGAGGGACCCATGGGCAGAAGTCACAGGGATGTAGAGTTCAGTTCAATACAGGGGTCTCTTCCAAGCCGGAGAACCAACACAACAGGCTATTGTGATAGCATCTTATTCCCTAACATCAAGCAAGAGGCAGGTCAGGTGCTTCTGGGACCAAGAAGGCCAGGCACACTGGGCTCTGTCACTCTCAAGACCCCGGACACAGAAGGCCCACCAATGAGATGGTGTGAGCCGCCACCGCAGCTCCACCCGTCTCCTGCCAACAGGATCTGAATTTTCAGGTCTCCCCTGTGTCTGCTGTCCTGAGCAACCTGAGTCACTCACCAGTGGCAGCTCTCTGCCCGGCCGGCGCATCTGATAGGTCAACCCATGGGGTAGGCTGTGGCTGGAAAAAAAGTGGATTCCACCGCTGAGGCATCTCTAATTGGGGGGAGAGAAAAGATCCATTCTAACAAGACGTTGACTGAGAAGTAAGCAGACCATACACAAAACAGCAGGGGTCACCTGCGACTCACTGGCCAATTTTTTTTTTTTTTAATGACATAGTCCTGCTCTGTTGCCCAGGCTAGAGTGCAGTGGTACGAACTTGGCTTACTGCAGCCTCCGCCTCCCAGGTTCAAGTGATTCTCCTGCCTCAGTCTCCCGAGTAGCTGGGATTACAGGCATGTGCCATCACACCCGGCTAATTTTTGTATTTTTAGTAGAGAAGGGGTTTTGCCACGTTGGCCAGGCTGGTCTTTAACTCATGACCTCAAGTGATATGCCCGCCTCGGCCTCCCAAAGTGCTAGGATCACAGGCATCAGCCACCACACCTGGCCTTTTTGGCTAATTTCTATCTTATGCCTGATGCATGCCAGGCACTCTGTAATCTTCCCAAAGTCTGAGAATCGAGTAGAAGCTGGTGGAAAGAGAAAATGTTGTGTCTGTACTTCCAGGGCCTACATCTACCCTTGTGCCCCTGAAACTGGGGTAAACAGACAGGTCCTAGGAAATGCCAACCCATAGTGGGAAGAAGGCTAAATGTACCAGTACAATTTAATCCTGTAGCCTGAGAGTAGGCACATTAAGCTTCTATGCTAGTGGCAAGCAATCTTCTCTCGAGAGCCCACCCCATTTCTGCCAGCCTCCAAAGATGAGAGAACTGGATTTTCAGAGACAAATGTGGATAACTTATTGCTCCAGGGACAACTCTGGAATAAACCTACAATGTCCCGCTCAAGGGTTGGGCTATAAACAGAGTAATGTAGGGGAGTCACTCTGGGCAAAGACTCGGCTGACCTGATGTAAAAGACACATTCTGGCTGGGTGCAGTGGCTCACACCTGTAATTCCAGAACTTTGGGAGGCCAAGGCTGGTGAATCAAGAGGTCAGGAGTTTGAGACCAGCCTGGCCGAGATGGTGAAACCTCGTCTCTACTAAAAATATAAAAATTAGCCGGGCGTGGTGGTGCACCTGGAATCCCAGCTACTCTGGAGGCTGAGGCAGGAGAATCGCTTGAACCCGGGAGGCGGAGGTTGCAGTGAGCTGAGATCGCGCCGCTGCACTCCAGCCTGGGCGACAAGAGCGAAACCCCGTCTCGAAAAAAAAAGCAAGAAAGAAAACTAAAAGAAAAAAGAAGTAACTTGGAACGTGAGCAATATGAAGTGCTACTTTTTGGGTGCGCGTTACACGTCTTGACTCCCACTGCCCTGTGGACCCAAGAGCCTGCCAGGGCGCGAACCACCTCTCCCACGTCCACAAAGAACGTTAGAAGAAACGATACAGGAAGAGGAGGACCTAGCATTAGCGAGCTGTTAATGTCACGGGTTTTTTTGGTTTTTTTTTTTTGCCTTCCCCAGTCTACTTTTTACCCAGCGGGCGCCGCCGCCCCGGCTACCACTCACTCTCCCGTGCATTTGGGTCTGATAAGAGGGTGAAGGGTGATCAGCTCCTGCCAGGCTCCGCGCATCGCCGCCCCCTGCCCGGTGCGCTCGGTCCCTTCCCTCAGGCCTCGCTCTTTGCCCCGTGTCCTGGCCTCTGCTGACCCAACGACCCAACCCCAAGCTTTCTACTGAGCCCAAGCAAGGGTCGCGAGGGTCAAGGGCCCGAGAAGAAGAAAGCCTTGGTGGCCGAAGGCCCAGAAGACCCCTAAGCCCGCCCTGCCATCGCCGCATCGCCGCTCACCCGCGGACAGCGGCACCAGCCACTCCGTAGCGCCGCCGCCGCCATGTCGAAGGACCGTGTGACCTTCTCGCCGCGCGGCCCGATTGCGTCATCGGCCGCTTCATCCTGGAGTGGTGCAAGCCTGGGAAAAGCCAGTGGGGGGCGGGGTTTCGGAGAGGTCCGGCCCTCGGATTGGGTCCGTCATGGGGGCGGGGCATTAAATGGGTGGGGAATTCCTAGAGAGCTTGGTCTCTGATAGGGCAGGGTTTTGGAAGAACCGGGCCTGTGACTAGATGTGGCACCGCGGAAGCGTGCACTCCTGGAAGGATCAGATCTATGATTGGGAGAGACTATGAAGGGGCGGAACCCAGGGGCGTCGTTTCCGTCTCCTGCGGTGATTCGGCTACAGATCGCACCTGGCGGTGGTCGCAGGCGGTACTGGCACGTGGAACCACCCACCGCAGGGACAGATTCAAATGGATTCTGACTGACCGGCGGCGGACCAGCTCGTGAGTGATAGTCTATGGCTGTCCCCGCAACGATTGATTGACAATGACTGAGAGACCAGCAAGTCAGTCACTCCAGGAAAGCGAAGGATCCCACTCTTGTGCCGCGCTTTGGGAAGACGCCTGTCGGTTTTGGCCGGGAATAGGAAGGAGAAGCTGAGATCAGGCTGACTGTGGTCCAGTCCTACTTCGATTCAGTGTGAATTGCCACTCTCTGCCCTGAAGACGCCCAGGCCGTTGTCATTTCAGCACACCTGATGCTATTTTCCATTTGAAGAATGCCGCCACCAAGTGGCGGTATTTTAACATAGCCTTGCAATCCGGGGATGAGGAAGGAGAAGGGTTGGTCCCCTGGGGAGCTAATGCTGTATGTTGCTGTTGCTGTTTGTCTTACTGAAGCCCTTTGCTTTTTTTTTTTTTTTTTTTTTTTTTTTTGAGTGAGAGTCTTGTTCTGTCACCCAGGGTGCAGTGTCGTGATCTAGCTCACTGCAGCCTCCAGCTGCAAGTGATCCTCCTGCCTCGGCCTCTGAGTCCCTGGGATTACAGGCATGAGCTACCGCGGGCGGTGCTTTTGCACTGTTAAGCTGTGATATGGGTTTATGGGACTTCATTTTTTGGAAGGGAGGTAGCTTGGCCCTGGAGGGCATGCATTCCCTGGCTTCTGGGCTGGACAGACGTGTTCTCCATCTCAGGAGCTGCCCCTCGAGGTGGGAGTAAGAGATGAGGGCCTTTACTCTGGCTTTTTTCGAGATATCTTTATGCCAAGAGGAGCAAACTAGTTAAGTGTTTGGTGTACACAAGTGTGTTGCTGAGAATAAAGTCTGGGCTAAAAGAAATTGGGTTTTTTTTTTTTTTCTTTCTTTCTGAGACAGAGTTTTGCTCTTGTTGCCCAGGCTGGAATGTGAGGGTGCCATCTCGGCTCACTGCAACTTCTGCCTCCTGGGTTCAAGCGATTCTCCTGACTCAGCCTCCGAGTAGTTGGGATTACAGACATGCGCCACTGCACCCAGCTAATTTTGTATTTTTAGTAGAGATGGGTTTCTCCATATTGGTCAGGCTGGTCTCAAGCTCCTGACCCCGGGTGATCCGCCCACCTTGGCCTCTAAAAGTGCTAGGATTATAAGCATGCTCCACCGTGCCTGGCCCAAAATTTGGATTCTTAGTTGTGGTTGAAACTATGGAGTTTGGCAGGTCATGGTGGCTCATGCCTATAATCTCAGCACTTTGGGATGCTGAGGATCTCTTGAGCCCAAGAGTTTCCAGCCTCAGCAACATAATGAGACCTCGTCTGTACAAAAAATACAAACCATTAGCCTAGTGTAGTGGCACGTGGTTGTAATCCCAGCTACTCAGGAGGCTGAGGTGGGAGGATCGTTTAGACCACTTAGGAAGTTAAGGCTACAGTGAGCCGTGACTGTGCCAGTACACTCCAGCCTGGGCAGTAGAGACCCTGTATGAAAAAAAGAAAGAAAGAGAAAGGAAGGAAGGAAATGACATGAAACGACAGCATTAGACAAGGGCACCCAGGGGCAGTGAGTGTGTTCCATGAGCATGTCAAAGGCCCAAAGATCAAGTGGGGACAGAAGAGTCCTTTAAGCTAAGATCCATGGCTCAGTCCTATTATCCCAGCAACTCAGGAGCCTGAGGCAGGAACGTCACTTGAGCTCAGGAGTTCCAGACTAGCCTGGGCAACATAACGAGATCCTGTCTCTACAAAAATAAAAAAATAAGCCAAGTATGGTGTCTCTCACCTGTAATCCCAGCTACTCAGGAGGCTGAGTTGGGAGGATCACTTGAGCCCAGGAGTTGGAGGCTGCAGTGAGCTATGATCATACCACTGCACTCCACCCTGGGTGACAGCATGAGACTGCCATCTGTTTTTTTTTTTTTTTTTTTGAGATGAGTTTTGCTCTTATTGCCCAGGCTGATGTCTAATGGCACCGTCTTGGCTGGTCTTGAACTTCTGACCTTAAGTGATCCAACTGCCTCAGCCTCCCAAAGTGCTGATATTACAGGCATGACCCACCCAGGAGTTGGTTGTAACTGCAGAAGCCCGAGTGTGTTTTTATGCTGTGCTGGTAGGGAGGAAGGAGTGGAGGAGATAGAGTAGGGCTGGGGTGCCCTAGGGAGCAGTGTGTCCATGCCCGTTTCTCCGGGAGGGAGTGGAGAGAGGAGAGAGCAGGGGCTGGGAAGTTTGCTCATAGCCTGAAAGGATGTAGAAGGAGTGTGGATTTCTGCTTTGCTCCAGTCTGGGAGGAGATGGGAATAGAGAACCCCTGCGCTGTGGGAATGGGAAGGGAAGGGGCTGGTGCAGGTAGGAGGATGCTCTTCTGGGAGCCCCAGGCAGTCACTTGGGGACCTGACCATCATGTCTTTTTTTTTTTTCAGATTCAGATGGAGTCTCACTCTGTCACCCAGACTGGAGTGTGGTGACACAATCTTGACTTACCTCCACCTCCCGGGTTCAAGCGATTCTCCTGCCTCACCCTCCTAAAGCTAAATTTTGTATTTTTAGTAGAGACGGGGTTTGGCCACATTGGCCAGGCTGGTCGCGAACTCATGACCTGAGGTGATCCATCTACCTCAACCTCCCAAAGTGTTGGGATTACAGGCATGAGCCACCACGCCTGGCTATTTCAAAATGAATGAAAGAGCCTCTGCTGGCACGGTGGCTTACTCCTGTAATTCCTGCACTTTTGGGAGGCTGAGGCTAGAGGATTACTTGAGGCCAGGAGTTCAAGACCAGCCTGGGTGACATTGTGAGACCTCATCTCTAAAAAATATTTTTTTTAAAGAAAACTAGCTGGGTGTGGTAGCACATGCCTGCCTGTGGTCCCAGCTGCTTGGGAGGCTGAGGCAGAAAAATAGCTTCAGCACATGAGAGTGAGGCTGCAGTGAGCTATGATTGTGCCACTGCACTCCAGCCTGGGTAACAAAGTAAAACCCTGTCTTTGTTGAGTGATATCAACACCAGTAAACATTTATTAGCACTGCTCAGGCACCAGGTTCTGTACCAAATGCTGACCATGTGTCATCTCTTTTAAATCTTCCAACAATATTAGCTACTTGGGAGGCTGAGGCAGGAGGATTGCTTGAGGCTTGGAGGTGAAGGCTGCAAGTGAGCTGTGATCATGCCCCTGTACTCCAGCTTTGGTGACACAGCAAGAGTGAGACCCTGTCTCCAAAATGACAAAAACAAATATACATTCCTCTAACAATCTTGGGTAGATAGAGTATTAATTTTTCTATTTTTTTTTTTTTTTTTGAGATGAAGTTTTGCTCTTGTCGCCCAGGCTGAAGTGCAATGGCGCAATCTCAGCTCACCATAACCTCTGCCTCCTGGGTTCAAGTGATTCTCCTGCCTCAGCCTCCCGAGTAGCTGGGACTACAGACAGTTGCTACGACGCCTGGCTATAATTGTTCTATTTCTGTATAACAAATTACCACAAACTTAGATGCTCAAAACAATAGCCATTTATCATCTTGCCGTTCTGTAGGCCAGAATTCTGGCTGGGTACTTGCCTGGACAGTGCACATGCTGAAATTGGAACAAGAGTGAAAAAATTAGCATGGCCCTTGGCCAAGGATGACATGCACATTTGTAATGCATTCTAGATTTTTACAACAATGTACACATAGTTAATGCTGCATTGTACACTAAAAATTTGGTGAAGAGGCTGGGCACGGTGGTGCATGCCTATAATCCTAGCACTTTTTGGGAGGCCAAGGCAGGTGGATCACCTAAGGTCAGAAGTTCAAGACAAGCCTGGCCAACATGGTGACACCCCATCTTTACTAAAAATACAAATTAGCCGGGCATAGTGGCACACGCCTATAACCCCAGCTACTTGGAAGGCTGAGGCAGGAGAATTGCCTGAACCCAGGAGGCAGAGGTTGCAGTGAGCCAATATAGCACCACTGCACTCCAGCCTGGGAAACAGAGAGAGAGAGACCCCGTCTAAAAAAAAAAAAATTAGTGAAGAGTAGCCAGGCATGGTGGTACATGCCTGTAATCCCAGCTACTCCGAAGGCTGAGGTAGGAGAACCACTTGAACCTGGGAGGTGGAGGTTGCAGTGAGTGAGCTGAGATCGTACCAGTGCACTCCAGCCTGGGTGACAAAGTGTGACTCCATCTCAAAAAATAAAATAAAAGTAAAAGTAAATAAACAAAGTACAATGAGATTATTAGGGTATGGGCCCTAATCCAGCAGGACCAGTATCCTTATAAGAAGCAGAGATTAGGCCAGGCAATGTGGCTCATGCCTGTAATCCCAACACTATAGGAGGCCAAGGCAGGTGGATCACAAAGTCAGGAGATCGAGATCATCCTGGCCAACATGGTGAAACCCCGTCTCTACTGAAAATACAAAAATTAGCTGGGCATGGTGGCGCGCACCTGTGGTCCCAGCTACTTGGGAGGCTGAGGCAGGAGAATCGCTTGAACCCGGGAATTGGAGGTTGCAGTGAGCCGAGATCGTGCCACTGCACTCCAGCCTGAGAGTGAGACTCCATCTCAAAAATAAATAAATAAATAAAAATTTAAAAAGCAGCAGAGATTAGGACACAGACACACACAGAGGGACGACCATGAGAAGACAGCCATCTACAAGTCAAGGAGAGAGGCCTCAGAAGACACGGACCCTGCCGTCACCTTTATCTCAAACTTCTAGCCTCCAGGACTGTGAGACAATGCACTTCTGTGACTGAAGCCATGCAGCCTGGGTGCTCTGTTAACTGCAGGCAGAGCCAATCCATGCAGGTGCCCCTCAGCCTCCTTCCTCTGGCTCACAGCCCCTACCCACTCACACTGGCTACTGCCCGCAGGTCCCTGCCATCTGTCTGCCTTCTGCCTGGCCTTTCCACCCAGTGGACTCCTCCATCTCCAGTTCTCCTTCTCGAGGTATAATTATAGCTGCTGGCACTAGTGCCTACCACCACTGTGCCAAAGCGTCTGCCTGGCCTTTGGAGGCTGTATCTTATTTAACCTGGCAGCCCCGGGAGACAGGGATTATCATTAGCTCTCTTATACCAATGCAATGCAGCACCCAAGGCTTCCCGAGCAGAAGGGGGTTGCCCAGGGCCACGCTGCTAGCATACAAAAGAGAATCTGTCAGCTGGGCATGGTGGCACATGCCTGTGGTCCCAGCTACTCGGAAGCTGAAGTGGGAGGAGTGATTGAGCCCAGGCATTCGAGGCTGCAGTGAGCTGTGATTGCACCACTGCACTCTCACCTGGGCAACAGAGGGAGACCCTGTCTCAAAAATTAATGTAAAAGCCAGGCATTGGCCGGGCACGGTGGTTTCACACCTGTAATCTCAGCACTTTGGGAGGCCAAGGTGGGTGGATCACAAGGTCAGGAGATTGAGACTATCTGGCTAACATGGTGAAACCCCATCTCTACTAAAAATACAAAAAATTAGCCTGGTGTGGTGGCATGCACCTGTAATTCCAACTGCTCGGGAGGCTGAGGCAGGAGAATTGCTTGAACCTGGGAGGCAGAGGTTGCAGTGATCCAAGACCATGCCACTGCACTCCAGCCTGGGTGACGGAGTTAGACTGGCTAGGAAAAAAAAAAAAAGCCAGGTGCAGTGGCTAACACCTGTAATCCCAGCACTCTAGGAGGCTAAGGCAGGTGGATCACAAGGTCAGGAGTTCAAGACTAGCCTGGCCAACATGGCGAAACCCCATCTCTACTAAAAATACAAAAATTAGCCAGTCATGGTGGTAGACACCTGTAATCCCAGTTACTCGGGAGGCTGAGGAACAAGAATCGCTTGAACCCAGGAGGCAGAGATTGCAGCGAGCCAAGATTGCGCCACTGCACTGCAGCTGGGCAACAGAGCGAGACTCCATCTCAAAATAAATAAATAAAACAAAATAAGGGCTGGGCGCGGTGGTGGCTCAAGCCTGTAATCCCAGCACTTTGGGAGGCCGAGGCGGGTGGATCACGAGGTCAAGAGATTGAGACCATCCTGGTCAACATGGTGAAACCCCGTCTCTACTAAAAATACAAAAAATTAGCTGGGCATGGTGGCACGTGCCTGTAATCCCAGCTACTCAAAAGGCTGAGGCAGGAGAATTGCCTGAACCCAGGAGGCGGAGGTTGTGGTGAGCCGAGATCGTGCCATTGTACTCCAGCTTGGGTAACAAGAGCGAAACTCAGTCTCAAAAAAAAAAAAATAGGGTGTGGTGGCATGTACCTGTAGTCCCATGTACTTGGGAGGCTGAGGTAGGAGGATCTCTTGAGCCTGGGAAGTCAAGGCTGCAGTGAGCTATGATGACATCCACTCTAGCCTGGGCGACACAATGTGAGACTCTGTCTCTACAAAAATTTCAAAAAGTGGCTGTGGCCAAGGTGTCATTTCCTCCCACTTGGATTCCAGACTTTCCAAGTGGAATCCCTATGGGGGGTTTGGGCATCTCTCTTTAGAGGCCCCAGGTCCATTATAGCACCTCACCTGGCTTTTTTTTTTTTTTAATGGAGTCTTGCTCTGTCACCCAGGCTAGACAGAGTACAGTGGCATGATCTGGGCTCACTACATCCTCCACCTCCCAGGTTCAAGTGATTCTCCTGCCCCAGCCTCCTGAGTAGCTGGGATTACAGGCATGTGCCACCACGCTCAGCTAATTTTTGTGTTTTTAGTAGAGATGGGGTTTTCACAATGTTGGCCAGGCTGGTCTTGAGCTCCTGAGCTCAAGTGATCAGCCCACCTTAGCTTCCCAAAGTGCTGGGATTACAGGCATGAACCACCGTGCCCGGCCTCATTTTTACACTTTTTGTAGAGACAGGGTTTCAGCATGTTGGCCAGGCTCTCTAACTCCTGAGCTCAAGTGATCTGCCCGCCTCAGCCTCCTAAAGGGCTGGGATCCCAGGCGTGAGTCACCGTGTCCGACCGCTATGATGTGATTACTGTGTATCGCATGCCTGTATCAACATATGTCCTGTAGCCAGTGAGTATATTCACCTATTATGTACCCACAGATTTTGAACTCCTGAGCTCAAGCGATCCTCCTGCCTCGTACCAGCTCTCAGGGCAAGTTGCCGGAAAGTCCTCAGGCTCTGTCCACCCACCCCCAATAAAAACACTCATGTCATGACTCGGCTCACAAACTGTGGTTTTCTGGACAGTGCAGGTGTCTACGTTTCTTCTTCTCTTCCAGAAATCCTTTTACATTGTGCTAAGAAATTACTGAGGTTGAAACACACACACAAAGCCCATGGGAAAAAGGATGCAGGCCTCAGACCCTCAACCTTGAAGGGAGCAAGGAAAATAGCCCTCACAGAGGCAGGGGTCCGGAGGGTCTGGTGGAGCTTGAGCATCCACCGCCAGGCACAGGGCCCTCACTCGGGGCTGGGCCTTTCGGGCCCTGAATATTGCAGTGAGGCGGGGATCAGAAACCATCTCTTCTCCTTGGAGGGGCTTGAGGGGAGATTTCCTTGCTTGCTTTGCAGTGGCTGCAAGAACTGTGGCGAGAGCTTGGGGGTGTCCAGGACTCTCTGGTGTCTGACCCTGAGCCCATAGGCCCCTTGTGCCCCTGCAGGTGGTGCAGGCAGTACTCAGCCTCCTGCTCACCCTCAACTTCCCACCCATCTAAACCTTGAAAGTTCAGAGGCACAAAACTAAGGGGGCGGCCGAAAGCCATGATGCTCTACGCCAAACTAAGAAAATGACTGCCAGCACAGCGTGTGCTTTCCAATCCGCCGAGTTCCGCGGTCTCATCTGTGAAATGGGTGCATGAGGTCAAGTACTGTGTAAAGCAAAAAGCTAACATTAGCCATCGCATCCTTCCTGGCACAATGTTACTCCCCTAAATACCCTGCCCCCGCTGCTCAGAGCACCCTGAAACTCTGCTCCCCTACTGTGTGGGGTAGGGGTTCCCAGTCTGCTCTCCCTGTTGCTCAGTGGGTGGGTCCTCATAGGTTGGCCCACCTGGGTGGGGTAGAACATTTTTAAGTCCTTAACCTGGGACCAATGCTCTCTTGCCCACAGGGCTGTTGCGAGATTTCAAGGTGGCTTCCCAGCCCAGAGAGGTGGCTCATGCCTGTAATCCCAGCACTATGGGAGGCCAAGGTGGATCACCTGAGGTCAGGAGTTTGAGACCAACCTGGCCAATATGATGAACTAGAGATGGGTCTCTACTAAAAACACAAAAATTAGCCGGGTGTGGTGGCACATGCCTGTAATCACAGCTACTTGGGAAGCTGAGGCAGAAATGCTTGAACCTGGGAGGTGGAGGTTGCAGTGAGCCAAGATTGTGCCACTGCACTGCCTGGGCGACAGAGCAAGACTCCATCTCAAAAAAATAAAAAAAAAAATGGCTTCCTGAAGTCATTATGGCAGAGGACCCAGGGCAGCAGAGGGTCAAAGGTCTCTTTGCTGCACCCCCCCACCCCCGCCAATAAAGACACTCTCACGTCACAACTCAGCTCTCGTATTACTAAACACAAACTGTGGCTCTCCGGGACAATGCAGGTCTGTTTCTTCTTCTCTTCCAGAAACCCTTTTAAATTGTGCTAAAAAAAAATGATTGAGGTTGAAACACACACACAAAACCCAAGGACAAGAGGATGCAGGCCTCAGACCCTTGACCTTGAAGGGAGCAATGAAACTGGCCCCCATAGAGTCGAGCGTCTGGAGAGGTCTGGTGGAATGCAAGCGTTGCCCGCCATGCATGGGAGGCCTCGCTTAGGGCTGGGGCCTCTCGGGCTCTGAATTCTGGGGTGAGTTGGGGATTGGAAGCCATCCCTGGAGCAGAGGGGTAGATGGGGACTGTCAGGTTTCATTAAGGTTCGTCTCACAAATGAGACTCTCCTAAATTTATTGCTTCTCAAGGTGAGTCTCTGACCCTGGCATCACCAGGGAGAAACAGGTTTTCAGGCCAGGCGTGGTGGCTCGTGCCTGTAATCCTAGCACACCCAGCACTCTGAGGAGATCACCTGAGGCCAGCCTGGCCAACATGGGGAAACCCTGTCTCTACTAAAAATACAAAAATTAGCTGGGTGTGGTGGTGTGGGCCTGTAATCCCAGCTACTTAGGAGGCTGAGGCCGAAACTGCTTGGGCCAGGCAGGCAGAGGTTGTGGTGAGCTGACTTGTGCCAGTGCACTCCAATCTGGGCAACAGAGCAAGACTCTGTCTTAAAAAAAAAAAGCCGAGGGGCCGGGCGCGGTGGCTCACGCCTGTAATCCCAGCACTTTGGGAGGCCGAGATGGGTGGATCGTGAGGTCAAGAGATCGAGACCATCCTGGTCAACATGGCAAAACCCCGTCTCTACTAAAAATACAAAAAATTAGCTGGGCATGGTGGTGCGTGCCTGTAATCCCAGCTACTCAGGAGGCTGAGGCAGGAGAATTGCCTGAACCCAGGAGGCGGAGGATGCAGTGAGCCGAGATTGCGCCATTGCACTCCAGCCTGGGTAACAAGAGCAAAACTCCATCTCAAAAAAAAGCCGAATCTCCTTTGAAATGATGCTCCCCTGGGGGAGGCAGATGCATTCTTAATTTGGGGAGGTGCAGACACCCAGACCCTTTCTCCTGGGTTTACAGGTTGGTCAGGAGATCCACTAGCCTGAGCCTGAAAGTTCCAGGAGCCCCAGCCGTTGGCTCCTGGGGTCTGAACACCAGAAGGATGGCCCTGCGTGCCCTCTGGCTGGAAGACAGCCCTGGCCCTTTGGCCCCAGGTGGTGTCGGACAACACAGGGTTTTCCCAGAAGTCGAGGGATCATTTAGCCATGTCTGGAAGAGAAGATGAATGCACACCCACCAGACGCACACATAATAAACTAGCAACTTGAAAACAGGCTCCGTAAATGCCTTCTGAGAGGCCCACCCACAGGCTGATGTTAGCTCAGCTCTCTGGGTGCTGAACGTGACCACCTTGTCCTTCTGATTATTGGTAGCAGCTGTCACCATCCCTACTTGATCTCATTTTCCTGAGGATCTGGAGGGGGTGGGTAGCGTGGACCCATCTCACAGAGGGGAGAGCAGAGACTTGGGGAGCCAGGGACTTTCCCCGTGTTGCACACGAGGGAGTGGTGGCAGAGCCAGGATTCAAACCTGGACTCTCCAACCTTGAGACCCCTTTGCTTGTAACCATTCCCACCCCCCAGGAGATCAGTCTCACAGAGGGGACACTCCAGATGGCCCCAGGGCTCAGGAGTAACCCAACTGTGGTTCCACATACAGACGGGGGAAGAGGCAGGATCCTCAGGTCACTGGTGGGGAAGCGCTGGAGTGGGAAGCAGATGGAGGGGGGCCATACCCAGGGGCCACTCACTGGGCCCACTGACCTGTGAACCTGGAGAAGAGGGGCAATGGGTCTTGGGGGAGAAGAGGAAATATTTGGGTGGGAGCTGAAGGGCCAGGGGTGAGCTGGCACAGGGCACACCTGCATTGGGCTTCCCCTGGAGGGGTCAGCTGTCTTCAGGCTCCACCTCCTGGGGCCTGGCCCAGCCTTACCTTGGAGGAAAGAGGTCCCCTGACCCCTGGCACTCTATTACTGGGCTGTGGGCTGCTCACAAGTCACACACCATCACCCCTACACCAGCACATCTCAATGATCCCACTTCATTTATTACCAAAATATCACAGAATTCCAGTCATAGTTAACATACAGCGTTTAACACAAACCTGATCCCTGTAGAAAGAACTGAGTATCTGGACAATTGAGTCGTTTGGAACCAAAAGCCACGCCCCAAACCGCATCACTCCATACTTCAAAAATACGCTTTTTTGAGAGCTTTGGAAACTGAATTAAAATGTCTACACAGCTATGAACAATTGTTTAATAAAACTTTTTCATGTTTCCATTACATGTAAATATATCAATTTGGCATCTCTATAAAAACTCTGAAAATGGTGCAAAAGTTTCATTCTCTTTGAGAAAGCCATTGACAAAAAATATTCACACTTCACTAAAATTTTGAAAAATGGTCTTCTTTCAAAGCTTCTTTATTAATCTGAAGTCTTCTGGGTTATCAAAATCTAGGTTTGCTTTTTCCTCCTAAAACACTAAGGAACATTTATTCACAAGGATTTAAAAAAAAATAAAAAGGCAATGGGGTGATGGAAAACTGATAAGGGGTTTTGTTTTTTTTTCTGAAAATAATTTAAAAAGCTTAAAAGTTACATAAGCATCTTCAAAAGAACACAATGGGATTCATTTTATTGTTGACTTTTGGACACCAGTGTCAGACTTTATTGAAAACAAACCCATGTAAAAACAAAGTTAAAATGAAAAATGGCACCTGAAAAATAAATTATTTTATATAAAACAAATCAATAACTTAAAACACACTAATATACAAAAAGTCTAACCATCTACTGTACAACATGGGAATCGTTTGAGAGCCTCCCCCTCCCCCAAAGCAAGTCACTGTAAACGGAACATCACGTGGTCATGGTCAAAGAGGTGGCCCCAAACCAACGGAAAAGGCTTCCCTTCTGATGAAAGAAAAATCCAGTCCTGTCAAAGTCTCCGTTAGCCTACCTTAGGTACTGGCAGTGACTTACAAGCGAGAAAAAGAAAAAAGTTTTTTAAATGGCCAAGAAAAAAACCCCTGAATTATGTCACTGAAAGGTTGTAGAAAAATAGGATACGGTCATTAGAGGTCAGGGGAAAATCAAAAGGTTTGGAAACGTGAACCCTGCCTGGGATTCAAAATTCAGGTTCTATTGCCATTGTTAAGAATGTGCCAATTGCCAATGCCACTTAAAAGAAAGCACTTGTGACTTCAGGGCTGTCTTGGGAAGTTTGGGGACAGGATCCCCCCCAGCCCCAGAGTCTGCTGAACCCTGGGGATTCTCTCCTAAGGAGCTGTAGGTGAGGTAGGTCAGGGGAAGATGGGAGGGGATTGAAGTCAAGGGGTGAGTGGAAAAGATGGAGGATAGAGGCCTTCTGTCAGCTGAAATTCTTATTCTCTTTTCATCCAATCATAGGAAGGCTGTGAAAAGCACATGGGGCTGAATCTGATGTGAAATGTAACAGCTGAAGGATGTCAATTTCAATTTTCAAGTCCGATGCCGGACTGGGTAGGTCATGTCTTTCCAATGCCTGGTGGACAAATGGCACCAGTTTGGAAGCAAACCGGGTAGAGGAATTGCCACTAACCGTCTTCGGGTGCTTCTGTTTCTCTGATCCAGCAGGGACCCCCAGGGCTGCCGGCTCCAAAGGGCCGGCCTTGGCTCCCAGCAGCAGCACAGTTCAGTTCCTGGAGGCTGGGTCTCCAAGACTAAGGCCAAGTGCAGACTCTCAAGAGGTTAAGGCAGCTGCCCGTGGCCAGGGAAAAGGGAAAGGCTCACCTTCCAGGAGAAGGTGGCGGAACCCACCCAGCACCACCCACGGGTGGGCCCCCAAGGAAGCCCATAAATTTCAGGATATTCACGCA